ACACTGTGTGTACTGTTTTACCTGTCTTCAGACAAAGAGATTATGACCTAAGCAGACAAGGATATTAGGACCTATACAACAAAATTACTTTACAATAATATCAAAGTAAAATATTTTTGTGTTTTGATGATTTCGTGTTAACATTTTTTCGATCCATAGTGAAATTTTCAATACTAAAAAATATTCACTGATTTGTGAAATTATGTCTCTTGTAATAATCACTAGACAATATAATGGAATAAAACTGACAGATGGTAAATCATTCAATAAAAAAACAAGTGATTTTATTACCATAATACTTTGTAAGACTAAAGCTGCTACCCTGATTAAAAAGATGAGGTCACATATTACATCAGCATCAACATCAATAACATGCAACACTGTCCTCTATAGGCAATATTGGGAAATGTATAACAGCTGTTAAAATCACAAGGTGCCAATTTATTTTTTCAAGAAAGATGACTTCTCATCGCTTGTAGAAATATTTGCATTTATGAATTTCATACTTATTGAAATACAGTATCTGAGTCATTGTAAATCCCTTTTATCCGGTGACAAATCATCATCAATTATTTTCATAAATTTCATACAAGAGGTGAACATTTGTTCAAATGATGTCATTAAACTTCATGTCATGTGACTAATTATTCATAAAAGCATTCAATTCAGACAAACAAATGAGTGAACAAAAAGTAAATTAGAAACAGAAATAATAACTGTTCCATCATTGAAATCATTTTTCAAGTGCTTTGTTCAAGCAAAGAAATTTCCTTAGAATTCACAAATCACTAAAAATTACAGCAAAGTAATGCAGTTATCAACTGCACAGGTTGTCCTCATTTGACCTGTTTAACACACTGTGCCATTTAGTCTAACACACTGTGCCATTTAGACTACAGTATATTGCAAAAATAAACTGATTTAATATTTCAAGAATTTTGTTTTACTTTCACAACACTACCAAAACTGTCGCAGACACTCAGATCACCAAGTACAGAACACATGGTGCTCATGTATGTCATCAGTATACATGCTGGAAACAATATGGTGCACACAGAATAGTTGTAGATTTTAAAAATACACTATTTTTATGGACTGTTTCACTTTAGATATTGCTGAAGGCTGAACAGTGTTTGTGAAGATCAAGTGAATAAATTGCTTTCATCTCTTAATTTGTAAAACTGTGTCATTCCTTTCATTTTTTGCGAACAACCCTATTGTCAATCAAACATAGTATTATCAACTCTTATGGAGGTAGAGTTACCAGAAACCAAGCATTTATTATATTTCAGGTTGGCTTAATCACCGTCCCTTGGCTTAATTAAGTCTTCAAAATGATATTTCTAGCACTGACAATTCAACAGAAACTTTAGTATCAATGTTTTAACATTACATATTTTATCATAATTGTCATCAGGAATAAAAGTTTCTTACCATATCTTGCTGAGAAGGTGTGCAGGAATGTTAGAACGTAGAAATAAGCCTTTGACCTTCTCACCTAGTATAAAAAAAACATATTAATGTTTACATCATGTAGAAATATTCTCAGTACATAACACTACCAGTAAATATTGCAGACAAATTATGAGTAATCAAACAGTGCTTTAGTGTACACATGCTGGATACATGCCCTTATGTCGTTCACGCTTCGGAACTTGGTGACTAGACATAATTATTTCAGTGTTATTTGGAAATAGGAACAAACAAATAGTATGTCTAGTTATTTCCAATGTTCAGTCGGAGAGTGACTGTGGTCCGTGTGTGGTCACAACAGACTGCTTGGAATATGTCCCCTGACTCGACGTAACGTACACATTAGCACACTTCGTGTATTTACTATAACATTATTTCAGTCACGGGGTGTGCACTAGTAACATGTGGCATAGGGTCATGGTAGTGACAAGGACAAAATAAGCCAGAGAAACAGGCAACTCAACGATCAACAACACCATTATATCACACTTACCAGTCAACAGACCATCAACAGGGTTTTGGCTATAAAATAATGCATCATATTGTGTCCTTTCTTCGCCGGTAATAATCCAGGCGACTGTAAATACAAAAACAAAACATCGGTCACGATGGTAATTCACGCTGAAAGTGAAATAAAATCGGCACGACCATGTACAATCACAGCACAGATTTTGACCGCGTTAGAATTCGTCTACTCACCGTCAGATTCAGAGGTCATTTTAGGAATCGGCTGTGTTCATCAAATCAATTATGCGACACAGTAAATACAATCCTCCTCATTCTAGAAAAAAACGGTGTTTTCATTAGAGCGTTAGCAACATCTGAGCATGACGAACTGTGTAAATGTGTATACAAATGCCACGTGACCCATGGCTGTGCAAAATATGTGTATACCGTAGAGGGCGAATGTTGTAACTTTTAAAAGGTGTTCAAGTTGCTCTCATACTGCGCAGAAGCACTGTGCGAATAAACAACAAGTGCATGCAGGATTTTTACGTGTATGGGCCTGTATGCGCTAACATTGTAAAAT